TAAAGAAAACTAAGAGAGGAAAGAAATTTGATCCCCACTTAATTAAATGCCATCACATTTCTATTGGATTTTTAGCAAGAATTGGGCAAAAATAACATTCCTTCTCTTAAAGCACTTTCAGCTTCGTAAATAAAATGAGCACACGACAAATCAAGTAATGCAGAGTGGAGTGTGACAAGGTAAACAAGCAGATAGCACAAAGCAAAGGAGAATTGTGAGCTGATGGCTTCAGAGGCAGAGAAGACTCTTCAAGTGGGCAGCAAAAAAAGGGTGGAGCAGGCCTCTTTCTGAACTACCCAGCTCTCTTAAAGAAAAGATTAAATATTATTTACGCACACTTGAGAGGATGGTGTGCACTTGAGTACAGGTAACCACACAGGCCACAGGATTGTGATCCTCCTACAGCGGAAGTTACAGGCAACTGTGCACTCTCTGAGATGCATGCTGGGAACCAACCTCGGGTACTCTGCAAAACTACTATGATTCGTAACTGCTGTGCCACCTCTCTGGCCCCTCGTAAGCACCTGTGATTGTCCCTGTATATAGACTAGGACATAGAGTACAAAGGGATTAAATCACTTGGCCTAGAAACCCAAGCTGAACGAGACAAAAGTCCGCATCTGTCAGCGATTTGTCATTTAAGAAAATCCTGCCATGTTACACTAATTTCTGTATTCAGTACTTACTATATAACTAAACTGTTATTGTATTTTAGTAATCACTTGAGAAATGAATGAAATGTTTTAAAATATAACATAGGATCTGAAAGACATGGAAGAGAAAGATGAGACTGGGAAAAGTTTACAGAAGCATACCAAAAGATTATTCTAAATCTATTGTTCTTATGGAAATTTCAAGGACCTTGAAATTCTGTCACTGGCTCATGCTGAGCCAATACTTTAAAACTGTGGCTGGCAGAATAAGGTCATTCGACATATAAAATTTACCCAAAAATTCGTGAAAAATAAATCTCTTTGGTTTCTCAGCAATTCATCTTCCCCTTCCTCAATTCTACCCTCATCCTAAGCTCTGCAAACTGTTTTGCTTTATGACTCAGTTTGTTCTAATGCTGTAATTACATCAAAAGGTGGTAGTATTCCTAACATATAGACTTAGCTATAGCATGATGGCTGTTCCATAATATCTATACAGCATGACAAAACCTTCTGTTAAGTATTCAAATTAGTTAAGAATTTTATTCCTTCTCAATGTCATAATATTTATTCAGACTAAATATGGTTATACTTTTCTTTTGAATTATATCACTGCATCCAAAATATGAATATCCTTTTATCTTTATACAATATCATATCAAAAGTGTTATCTATATTTCCCAATAAAGTTAAGACAGATCATAAATTTATCAGGTTGTAATTGATGAAGTAAGTAAGAGACAGAAATCCAAAGTCACTTAGGATTGTCTCCACTGAAAATGTATCAAGTTCTATTCTGTAACTACACCGACCTGTAAAACTATGTGTCTTCTAGTAAACAGAAGGCCTGTGTAAGGTGATATCTGGTTTGAACTGGTTCACTTTGTTCTCAGCAGACTGATGTATCAGTTCTCCTCAATAGTGTCCTTATTCCATGAGAGTCAGCTGTTCCTCAGATTTGCATTGCAGCCTATGGGATCCTACTAAACTTAAAACAAATAAAGTAGAATGTTTTAATCCTCTCACATTGTCTCTCACCAAAGAGAAACCATAACAAAAGCATAATTTATTGAAGTTTTGTCCTCAAAACTACATTCCTCAGAAGTGAAAAATAGTAAGCAACTTTGCAAATGACTTTATATAGCCTTGGAATCCACGAATTGAACAATGCCATAGGCATTTAGCACTACAAGCAACACTGTTAAAACCCCAGGTTTTTTTCCTATGAGACTAGGACCAAATCTCAAACTTCATTTAGCATTCTTCCCAAGTAAACCTTTCCATGTCTCACCCTGCTGTTACTCTATCTTCAAGTAAGGAAAAATATGGAGTAAGATATCCCTTTAAAAGTTTTAATATAGCCAGGCAGTGGTGATGCATGCTTTTAATCCCAGCCCTCAGGAGGCAGAGGCAGGTGGATATCTGTGAGTTCAAGACCAGCCTGGTCTACAAAGTGAATTCAAGGGCATCCAAGGCTACAAAGAGAAACCCTGTCTTGAAAAGAAAAAGCAAAAATAATATCAACAAAAAGTCTATCATTTTTGTTGCTGTTATATGTTACACATTTTAATTAAATTTATTCATTGACAGTTTCATACATGAATTCATGTATATAATGCATTCTGATCCTCTCCCTCTGCTGCCAATTTCCCCTCACTTTTCCCTCAAATCTCCTGCCTACATTCATGTTTTCTCTCCTGCTCCCTTGATTCACTGATGTTAACAATAACTGTCTGTGTGAGTAGCCACAGATTTGGACTTGTCTTCCAGAGCTTTGTGGGCTCACGAGTGGGCACACAATTGAAGATATTGGTGCTCTGCATCATAGAACTCACCAGCAGCTACTGGTTCAGCTGTGAGGGGAAGGGCCTGGGAGCCCATCCTCTATCCGTGACTGTGAGTCCACAAGACCGGTCTCCTGCAGGCTCAATGCACATACCCACGGCTTCTTTGAACTCCTGACTATTTTCTGCCCTGCAGATAGCATTTCTGAGCCCCTCTCCCTATAGCCTGACTCTTATATTCTTTCTACTTTCTTTCTCACTGTACCCCGAGCCTTAGAGATGAATGTCTTACTTTATGAGCAGTCAACTGTCCTTAATCTCAGCACCTTGAGCAACCAGGAGTTTCTTCCTTTACCACCATTCTCTGTTCAAGGCAGGGAAACATAATTTGTCCTGAATCCTCTTCTGCCCCTAGTGTGCTTGCACAGCCTCTACCATGTCTTGAGAGTCATTTCTAAGGCAAGCCCTCTGCACTGCTAAGGTCCACTTAAGTGTTTCTCACATATGCTCCTGTGCACAATTCAAAAGCTACATTCTCTGACTCATCCCCACCATTTCTGAGTTACTACTTGCCCTGCAGAACATTGAGCATCGCTCTTCAACTTTGTTTTTTATTTATTTATTTATTTATTTATTTATTAAAGATTTCTGTCTCTTCCCCACCGCTGCCTCCCCTTTCCCTCCCCCTCCCCCAATCAAGTTCCCCTCCCTCGTCAGCCCAAAGAGCAATCAGGGTTCCCTGCCCTGTGGGAAGTCCAAGGACCACCCACCTCCATCCAGGTCTAGTAAGGTGAGCATCCACGAAACTGCCTAGGCTCCCACGAAACCAATAGGTACAGTAGGATCAAAAACCCATTGCCATTGTTCTTGAGGTCTCAGTAGTCCTCATTGTCCACTATGTTCAGCGAGACCGGTTTTAACCCTGGCTTTTTCAGACCCAGGCCAGCTGGCCTTGGTGAGTTCCCGATAGAACATCCCTCTTGTCTCAGTGTATGGGTGCACCCCTCGCGGTCCTGAGTTCCTTGCTTGTGCTCTCTCTCCTTCTGCTTCTGATTTGAACCTTGAGATTTCAGTCCGGTGCTCCATTGTGGGTCTCTGTCTCCTTTCATCTCCTGATGAAGGTTAATATTCAGGAGGAAGCCTATATGATTTTCTTTGGGCAAAGAACTGGCTCAATAATGTTTGTTTAAATGAGTCAATAAGAAGCAAACAATATCTATTCAGAAATTAAGAAATTCATTATGTTGTGTACTTCTGTAAATTTATGTATTTGGGCCCATCTATTCTCTCCTTCTCCTATATTTTTATATACAAGGATAATCTAATTTTGGCTTCTTGGCAAAATCTGGCACATAGATTTGGATTTTCAGCACTATGATTTCTACCTTGCCAAAAGGTATTTAAAAATTTATATATACTCTTGACACTTATATACCTATATGCCTTTATAGGGTATATACCTAAATGTTACTCAAAGATAGTGGCAAAGGCTTCTGAACACATGATGAATTTATAATCTGAAACTCAGTGATTGTATTCTGTTGTGACCGGGTCGTTTAATTCTTTCTTCAGGCAAAGGGCTGTCAATAGGCAGCTTCCAGAAATAATGAATGTTTGCAGTCATAATTTCATGGGTTGACTGAAACTTAATAGCCTTTATTTCCAATTTAGTTTGTGATACGTTCCAGTAGAAGTAGTCTCAAATGAAATATAGTCCATCACAATGCTATTTAACCCTCTATTATTTTGTTAATCATTTGATGCTGTTTGTTTGGGGTTATATGGCTGGCTGTGGCAGACCATATGAGGCACTTTAATTCTTCTCTGCAGCTTCTGGTTTAAGCTTTCTCAGTCCAGCATACAGGAGCTGTTTGTCCAGCAACTGTCTTAGAGATATCTGCCTCATCTGAAACAACTCTTAACTCCATTCATAGTTGAAATATCACCTGAGCTAGCAAAGAGTTGAAAAGGAGACAAAAAGATACACTCTAGATTTGTTTATCCTACTTGTTCTCCATCTATGAAATTGAGGCAAATGTTAAGATTCATGAATTAAATTTCTGCTGTCTATAACTGTGAAAAAGTCAGAATACTCAAAATAGTGGATTGATGGGTTATTGTTTAAAGAACCACGTGCGCAAAAACAGCTGAGCAACTTGGTACCACAGAGTGAGATCACCACTCTGGGAGAGGAAGAAATGAGTCACACTGGGGTTCTGTGCTACTGATATGTGATCTAGAGAACATCCATGTGCTCTTGACTCTCCTATGCATTTTCTTGAAGGCTGAGATTACAACCTGGATTCATACCAAGGTCACTTTCACTTGATATTTTCTTTTCTTTTGCAAAACTACTCATAACAAGTATTATTCAAAAACAAAAATTAAAAATCTTCCAAAATAACTCTAACAAAACTATTTTAAAAGCACATAATTAACTCTCCAAGTGGGTCTGGTGCATATTCACATAATAAGCTATCGTTCAGTAATTGTCTGGATTGTGTCAAACAAATTAAATCAATAAAAATGAAGTTTAGCTTAGTTCAAGGACAATTTATTGGTAGGCCATTTCCTTTGCTCCTCTTTGCAGGGGTCACAGCAACAATACTGTATAGTTTCCATGGTACTGGTGTGGAGAACAGAGGGTTTTACACTCATTCTGTAAGAAAAAAAGCATTTAATCACTGCAGCTCACTGTTCACCTAGACTGAAAAGCCACATAGAACTTTCAACCATAACTGGTTAGGCTGGCTAATATCAAAAAGATAAGCGGTGGTAGGGGAGATGAAGAGGCAGAAACCCACATCCACTGTTAGTGGGAATGTAAATTGACCAAACATTACAGAAGTGACTCCAAACCACAAAAATAAAACCACCATGCACCACAACAACCCTGGTTCTGAGTACATTTCTCAGAAAAGGAAATCACCTCCAAGAGCTATATGTCATATGTCCTTAGCAGCATCGTTCTAATGTGTGAGATGTGTGTGGATAAAGAAAATTTATTTTTTACCTCTACACCTGAAGCAGAATCTGAGGAAATCCTGCTATGTGAGACAATGTGGTTAAATCTAAAGAACTTTATGCTAAATAAAGTAATCAAGGCAGAAAGGTAAATACTGCATGCTCCTGGTGACAAGTTGACTCTAAAAAGAGCAGTTTTCATAGACGTATATAATAAACAATGGTTGCTGAAGACAAGGGAATTGGAAATATAGGGGAGCTTTGTTTTAAAAAAGAAATACAAACTTTTAGTTTTAAGATGAACAGCATCCAGGGATTTTTACATTTAACTTGAGTCTACAGTTGAGAACCTTGTTAATTAGATGAAGCTAGTTTAGAGTAAAAAAAAAAAAATATTCTCTCCCTGCCCCTACTAACAAATAACACTGTCGTGTAGCATGTGGTCCTGCTTGATGGGGTTTTGTTCCTGCCTGGTTCCCACAGTCATTAGGCACCAAAGACCACACAGAAGTCTACATTAGGTTATAAACTGATTGGGCCATTAGCTCAGTCTTTGTATTAGCTCTTATAATGTATATCAGCCCTTTATTCTTATCTATGTTAGCCTCATAGCTCGGCACAATTCTCAGCAGGTCAGGTCATATCTTGCTTCTTCCGCGGTCTGCACAGGACTCAGGAGAAACAGGCTTCCTCTTTCCCAGCATTCCTGTTCTTATCACCCCACCTCTACTTCCTGTCTGTTTGACCCGCCTATACTTCCTGCCTGGCCAATGAGCATTTATTTAAAACATGATTGACGGAATACAGACAATTCTTCTGCACCAGTGTGGCAATGTGTATTTTGATTGTGGTTATTTGATTGTGGCTATCCTTTCCCCCCAATATGTACATACATGGAATCATTTCACCATAAACCTTGAGTATCCAGCCCCCCATAATACCCATGTACTCCACATCTCTGAAGTCAACAAAAATTCAAAATACTTGGGGGAAAACTGAGCCCACATTAAACACATAGACTTTTATGTCATAGTTCTCTAATACTGACACATTTCATATATGTACGTGAGCATTCAAAAAATTTCATTTTCTTGGGATTCTAAAACTAATTTCCCATAGATTCTAAGGGATGAATACATGTTATTTTTATGTATCATACTTCAGTTGAGTTAGAAACATAAAAGTGTATAACAAAGTATCACATATTCTGAACAAAATTTCATCAGGAACCAATTGGTGTATGCATGTTCATTTATGCAAGTGTGTGTGTGTGTGCCTTGTCTCTTGTTTGGGGAACAGAGGACAACCTTGGTTATCAATTTCCCAGGGCTAGAAACTTGTTTTTAAACCCACTGAATAAATGACAGTGTATGAGATTCTTTCAGTGTTCTTCCTGATTGTTCTAGAATTAATAAGATGCTTACTCTCCTGAGGATTTAGATAGTCTATAAAAGTGAAACTATCACTGTGCTGAGCCACAGCACTTTGTAGTTACTACTAGAAGGATTGGGACAATACACAGCATGCTCTATTTCTTCTAGAGTAAAAACACCAGGGATGCAGCACCTAAGGAAGCCTTTATATTTAAATATGATGTCTGGGATAGGGCTCATAAAAGCAAGAGCTTGATCTCTTTGAGTCAAGATAATTGACATCTCTATAGAGAAAAAATAATTATAGAGACAGAAACACCAAAAATTTGACCTCTTTACAAGAACAAATGATTCCCTGGATAGAAATCAAGAATACTGCTGTGTTCTCCACAGAGCTCATCATTTCCTGACCTTCACTCAATGGCAATAATTACAGCATGTCTGCCCCTACTGTGACCTGTGAAAGAACATGTCTTCCAAGCCCTTCCCCTACAGAGACCCTCCATCTCTTCTGTTCCAGGGCCATCCCACTTCCTTAGGCAGGGATGGATCTCATCCAGACCTACGCTATCCTGCTGGCTGCTCTTGTCTGGACCCAATAGGCCTCAGCTAGAGGTCCAGGTGGCTCAATCCTCACTCCCCAGCAAGGCTTCCACAGAATCCACCCCTTCCTGATCCCTCTACCATTAGCTTGGAAGGACGTCCCTACAACCAAAAGGAATTCAACAGTTCATGTAGACTTTAGTCCCTTAGAAGAAATTGATCCCGCAAGTGAATAAAGCTTGGGAAAGATGCACAGAAATGAGATCAAATTAAAGACTGCTCCCAAAATCGGTGTTTTACCTATAATGCATCCTGGATGCATATATATTCACGGATATGTTCCTCTATATAATTATACCTTTATCTAATCCTTGGGTCCACTATCAGATAGATAGATAGATAGATAGATAGATAGATAGATAGATAGACAGATAGATAAGAAATAGTCAAACTATGTTTGAGCAGAAACTTGGAAAAATATATTTATTTATACAAATACAAGAGACAGTAGGTAGATAGACAGAATGGTGGTTATCTATCTAAAGCTACATCTAGGGGGATAGAGACATAAAATTGCAAACTAACAACTATACAGACATCCTGCTTAAAAATGGAGCCATGTCCATCCATCTAAAAATGCATCTAAAGGAGTTTCTGACAATTTGTCAATTTACTTATATTGTCACACTGCACATAACAAGCTACAAAGATTTTCAACAAATTGGAAAGGTGTGCCTGAAACATCCTGATATGTTATAAAGAGGCTATATCAAATGCAAAATCCAATCTGTGAACCTTTACAGGTGGTCAAAACTGAAGGTGAAGTTTTGGTATGCATTAACTTGAAAGGTTGCTTTGTAGCATACAAAAATTCACTTTGTGGGCCTAAAGGGACTCCTTAATTACTTTTCAAAACAGGTTAAACAGTTAAAAAGCTCTATTATCTTCCTGGTACTGCTTTAACAAATGACCACAATCTGAGTGGCTTGAGACAAAAAAAAAATCTATTTTATAAAGTGTTAGAATCAGGATGCTGACAGATCAATGACCACACTGAAACCTCTAAGAAAAGTTGCATTCTTGCCTCTTGCAGCATCTGGTGTCTTTGGTGATCCTTCACCGTCCTCATTAACTCAGATCTCTGGCTCAGTCTTCACACAGCTTGTGTGTGCCTTCCAGTCTTTCTTTCCCTTGACATCTCCTGATGCTGGATTCGGGGGCCCAATTCAATCTAGTCAGACCTTGACGTAATTACACCTTCAGAGATACAGTCGCCATATGAAGTCACATCCGCATGTTAGGATATTGCGTTAGTTCCTTGTTACTACAAGCATCTGTCTGACAAAATGCAGCTGAAGAGGTTTGTTTTGGTTCAGCCCTTCACAGTTGGAGGAAATATGGCAGCAGATTGCAGCCCTTTGACAGTTAGGAAGCATGTCCCCAGTGACTCACTTCCTTCCCAAAGTCTTCTTAAATCTCCCACTTCCTTCCCAAATAGCAAAATCAGCTGAGGACCAAGTGTTCAAACACATGAACCCATGAGGGATATTTTACATTTAAACCACAACAAACATTCCAGGTATATTTGTGGGGAACACAATTAAACTGACAACAGGAAGCATTTGATTAACACAGTTTGAAAATTAACTTCATTCCAGGACATAAATAACAATGAAAATATAAATCCTGGGATATAAGATAAACACCAACGATAAATGAAGCTGAAATAGAACACTAAAAAGCTATTTTAAAATCTAAACTTAGTTATTTTAATATTGACTGCAATTAATACCTACATCAAGATGATAGATATAAAACAATACTATTCTTAAACTACCCTAGCCTTGTACCAGGCTTTTTCTTTTGGGCCGCCAACCAGCTCTTATTAGTTTTGAATCTTTGGCCTGTCTTAGACTTGTTTCTGGTTAGCTCTTTTAACCTTAATTAACCTGTTTTTCTTTATCTACCTTTTGCCTTGGGGATTTTTACATTCTCTTTCCTTCTGTATTTCTTACTTTTACTGCTTCTCATGTCTGTCTGTCCGTCCAGCAGCTACCAGGCTGGCTGGAGGACCCCAGGTGTCTCTTTGATTCTGTTCTTCTCTTCCCACGAGCTTAGATTTCTCCTCCTATTTATCCTCGCTGCCTGCCAGACCCAGCTGTCCTTTTTCTGCCTTACTGTTAGACCTATCAATCAAGTGGTTTAGGCAGGCAAGGTGAAACAAATGCAAGACATCTTTACATAATTAAATGCACATCTTTACAGCATTAAACAACTGCAACATAAACAAATGTGACACACCTTTGCACAATTAAAGCAATATTCTGCAGCATAAACAAATATAGCCCATCTTTGCCCAGCTGAAAAATATTTCACAAATAGCCTTTAAAAAGATAAGATAGAGCCTTGAATTTGAAATATTGTTTTGCATTCTAGTTGTGTTTTGAAAGGGTGCGCCCATGCTCTGAGTTGGAGGCAGCAGGGATTTATGTATTTAATGAGGGATAATGATTTATTTAGAGAAATGCTGGATAAGTGAAAAAATGAATTTTTTATAAGCACTGGGGTATTTCAATTCACCTCAAACTCTGCGACTAGTTTTTGCTGTGAACTTTCTCACACACATTTCAAGACTTAGCCACCTTGAAGTGTGACACTCTCTCCTCAGATGTACACTGGTTAGGTGCTCTCGGAGGGACTGTCTCTGCACTGTCGTCCCTTTGTGTATTTCCCTTGACTGATTTGGTGGGAATGATGCTGTATAACTTTTCTGATTCTT